GAAATTCTAATACTGTTCCACTAAAATAACCATAACTCTCAATATGAATTGAATTTGAGGATGAGGTTGGTCTCATTGGAAAGTTAACTCAAAATCCTTAAAAATTGACTCAATAATGCCCTATTTTGGTTCGGAACAAAGAAGTTATGAGCGTCCGAAGTCAAGCGTTCCAAGCTGTCAACTGAAAAAGCCAATTTAGTACACTAGGGGATTTGAACCGGTTTAGTGGGGCTGAAATGATTCAAGATGGGCAGAATGCTCATCCTTAAACCCAAGGTCCCCCCTTGAACCGGTTCAATGGGACTGAACCGGTTCAAGATGCCCAAAACCTTAAAATTGCCCCAAATAGCCTAAAATTGTGATCTTGTACACATTGGCACTACTTTGGTTCCTTGGTGACCTTACTCAAAGCCCAAACCTGTTCCAAAAATTTTGTTTAATGATGAAACTAACACAACTAAGTAGTATTTAAAATCAAATAAAGTCATATATAAATCCGATATACCATTAAAATTAAACAAGAGCGTTATACATAAAAAATATGGCCTTAAGGCCTTATATGGATATTGAAATCATAATGGGACCACAAAATACAAATGGATTGTCTCAAGATCATTTCCAACCACGTAGAAGATACAAAATGTCCCCTAATACTATTTACAACAAAGAGGGGTAAAATACACATCGAGCACAAAAGAGTCCAAACCTGTCAACCAGACTAAACTGGTGGTGGATTGTCGTTCGCCACTTCTTTGCCATGTTCTGAAAAAATGTTAATAATAAATGGGTGAGCAAATTGCTTAGTAGGTGGTGCCTAAAACACACCTCTCGAGACCCCATAAATCCACACAATGAATAGAAAATAAAGAAGTGGGATCATGCCATACCGGGGTAAACATAGCAACAAAATCGACAGTCCAAGTCATAATTAAATTATGCCGTGCAATGGGATGCAATGTCACTCCCCATTTTCCAAAACCATTTCTGCCATCATTTCCAAACCGTTAGTGCAACCCGTCCCATGCCAACTCCATGGTGGCACAAGAGGAGGATTGGCTAACTGTCCCTGACCCATGCCAACTCCATGGCGTCATTTGGGAACCAGACAACTCAACCACGCTAGGGCGCTCTCACCAGTCCCCCTCTAGGCTACACTAACGCCACAGTCCCTAGGCAACTCTTAGGTGGCCGGGTGTTCGCAAAACTCTTTCATCAAAACTTTTCCCCAAAAACTCGTTTCTATTTTCTTTCAAACATTATTTCCCATTTTCTTTCCCAATGAGTGCATAAGTGTTTCATACATTTTAATGTTGTGCAAAAAAAAGAAAATTTCATACCCATCAATTAAATAATCATCAAAGTAAATGTTAAGCAAAAATCTTTAAATATAACTTATGTTTATAAATCACAAAATTCATTACTTATAACACAATAGGCATGAAATCATCATCATTTAAACATAGTTCTTCATCATATACCAACTGAAATGTAAATACATTTCATATACAACACATAGCAAAGTTTGCATGTAATATACACAAATTAATCATGTAATAACACAATTTATAAGGAATTGATTCACAAAAATTCAAGAGGTTGTGGATTAGAAACCCCTACTTCAAAAGGAAGTAAAACCCCAAAAAATTGCCCAATCTAAATCCTAATTTTCGAAATTCCAATGTGCACCAAACGGGGCTTGGCTCCGATCAAATCGAAGATCTTGACGAGCTCTTCAATTTGTCGCAAATGGCACCAAAAATTTCCCAATGGTTTGAGATTAATCAAAGATTGAAGTTTTTGTGAAAAGAAAAAGAAATAAGAAATAAGAGGAAGAGAGAGAATGAGAGAGGCAAAAAAAAATGCCTCTTGGCCTTTTTTTTTTTTTTTTTAAATGGTGGGTCCTACCCTTAAAAAAAATATATTTTCCCCTTTTTCATTTCCACCACACACATATATATATACACATATTAAATTACATCCACAAAACACATTAAATAAAATGAATAAGATGCAAATGGACCTAAACAAAACCTCCGTACACGACAATTCCGGTAGCGAGTCCCACACGGGATCTTTCGGCCTGAAAACAGAAAAATGACAAAATGGCGATCAGTGTATTTTCAAGAGTCCTGAACTCAAAGAAATGTCCCAAACAACTCTCTGACACACCCGGCATACCCCACGGTATCTGACACGCAAAACGAGAAAAGATGAAAATACCCTCGAAAAAATCAGAAAATTCCAGAAGTTGGAAAATGGTAAAAATTGGAAACATTACTGGATTTGATTAGGATTCATGCCTAATCCAATCCGATCCATGACCACCCCAACCTATATAAACATGATTTTTTCTTGGCCTTTTAGAGCACATCCATTGGTGTTGCTTTTAGCAAATTTGGGCCAAAAATTGAAGATCAAGACCACTTGCTCCAATGGCCTATCAATTTTGTGGGCCACAAAATTTTGGTCGCCAAAAAGGGCGACCCTGAAGGCCATTATGGCTCACTTCTATGGGCCCACTTTTGTTTTCTTTTATTTTTTTTAATTCAGGCCCAAAACACTGTACCAGCCCAGAACACTACTCCTAAGGGCATGTTTAGCTGAAATAAAAACTAAAATTCAAATTTTTGGCTTATTTTGGTTTTTCTTTTTTCCCTCAAAATAATTAAACCAAAGAGCCGTTAAAGCACTGTTTGACTGACACCAACAGTTCCTTAAAGGCTTTTTTGAGCAAAAAAAAAGTTTTAAAAAATTGAAAAAAAACGATTTTTTTTTCCTTTTCAAATTTTTCAATGTTCCTATTTATATTATAGCCGTTTTAGGTACTGTTTGGCTAACCCAAATAGTGCCTTAACGGTTATATTGGCTAACCAAACAATTTTTATTTGTTTTCCCTAACAAATTGAAATTTATTTTAAAATATGATATTAAAAAAAAATGTGTCTTTGTTTTCACTATAAATTAATAAATCAAATGAGATTAGATATTATATTGTTTACAAGATTTCACACATATTGGCTAAATAATTTAATCAACAAATAATTTAATTATTTATTTCAAAATAAAACATTACACAATAAATCTTCCATTACATAAACTTCATAACAATTTAAAAATAAATTAATATAACATAAATTAAACACGTTCTTCACCAAAGCGGTTCCATAAATTTTCAATTAAATCTTTCCTCAACTGCGTATTTGTCTCTTTGTTGCGAATTTGGACTTGGCGAAAGTAAATGTGTGTCGTTAAGAATGATGGATTTTGAATTAAAGTGGGAGTCAAGATTGTTTCCTCCAGTGGCGGAGTCTATCTTCCAACATTAACATGACGCTCATCTTCAATGATCATGTTGTGAAGGATGATGTACGTTTTCATTATAAGGCACAAATCTCCTTTATCCTAAAAACGCACTGGTCCTTGCGTTATTACCCACTTGCTCTGCAGGACCCCAAATGCTCATTTCATATCTTTTCTACAGGCCTCTTGTCTCTGAGTAAAAAGTTTTTCTTTTACTGTAGTTGGGTGTGGGATGGCTTGCATCAAAGTTACCCACTTAGGGTATATACTATCAGATAAGTAATAACCCATTGTTTGGTAATGGCCATTCACAATGAAATTAACGTGAGGAATTTGGCTAGTAGCGATAGTGTCGAATACCGGAGAATGATCCAGCACATTAATATCATTGTGTGAACCCGGTATTCCAAAGAATGCATGCAAGATCCACAGATCTTTTGAGGCAACCGCCTCCAATATAAGCATAGGTGTATGAGAGGGTCTTTTTATGCGTGCCATGCCACGCCAACGGACAATTTTTCCACTCCCAGTGCATATAGTTGATAGAACCAAGCATACCCGGGAATCCTCTCTCCTCCCCTTTTTGAAGTAGTTGTGCTATGTCGGCTTCGTTGGGTGGGCCATTTTTTTTTTTTTTTTTTTTTTTTTTTTTCATACACACCAATAACAGCCTTACAAAATGTCATCAGGGTTTCAATGGCAGTGTTTTTGCCAATTTTAATATACTCGTCACAATGATCGGCTGCACAACCATGTGCGAGTATACGTATTGCAGTTGTTATCTTTTGTATAGAAGATAACCCCAAACGACCTGTTGCATCCCTTTTTTTTGGATGAAATAGTCGTCATAAGCTTTAACATCATTCAGGATACGAAGAAATAGTTCTCGTAGCATCCTGAATCGTCTGTGAAAGTACTCCGGTGGATATGTGCAATTTTTGTCAAAGTAGTCTTTTATTAGTTGACGGTGACTTCCCTCTCGATAACGATGAATGTACCGCCTCTTACGCGATTTAAAAACTTGTTCTACTATCTCTAGGTTCACTGAATTCAAAATCTCACAAAAGGTTTCTTGATTACGTTGAATCATCACGTCAATAGGGTTATCTAATGAAGAAGATGGAGAATTAGAGCCTGACAAAGGAAAAAATCGTGATGAGGAGACGTGAATTGGAATTTTGAGATTGAAAATTACGTGAATTGATATTTTGCTCGAATAAGTTGAGATGAATGTAATGATGATGAGATGAACAAATGGTTGTTTATATAACATGAAAAATATAGCCGTTAGGAAAAAAAGTTAAAAAATAAATTTTATTTTAAATTTAAAAATATTAAAATATTAATATTTCTAGAGAACGAAAATAAACCATTGGAGTACATGCGATAGCTCAAATTTATAGACTCTAGAATATTGATATGGCTATTAAAAATATTGACGTGGCTGTGAAAAATGTTGACATGACTATTGAAAAGATGTGACAAATTTGAACAGTCTAAATTGAAAGAGCCCATTAAAAATGCTCTTAAAATGGAGTAACCTATCCAATTCGCCTATTTGACACCCAATATGAACATACTTTTTTAATTAAAATCCCCAACTCATATGACATTTTTGTTTTTTAACCATAGCCTTTAAATTTGAAAGTAAAAAACGAATAAAATAAAAAATAAAATTCCTATTAAGAAAAAAGGACTGCATGATCGGAAGCCTTTAACGTTCATCCGTTTCCGTTCCGGCCCAGGTCAAACGGAACAATTTTGAACCCCAATAATGAACGAAAGCCAACCCAACCCAATCGTGCAAGGCAAGCCCAAACGAAATCGTCGCTTCACGCGCTCTCGGTCCCGGCGACCCCTCACCCATTCTCTGACTCTGACCGTACTTTACCAACTACACATGCGCCTCACGCGTCTGTCGACAACCGGCGTATCATCGCCGCTCATCAAACATCAACAACGACATGATCCCTTTTGCGACGCAACCACCTCTATTCTCTCTCTACTACTCTCTCTCTCTAAAAACCATACCCCATTGAACACAGCATCAAGACCACTATGGGTGAATTAACGGAATCGTCGACTCCCCAACCGGCGACGCCACGTCCGTTACCGTTGCGTGAAGATTGCTGGAGCGAGGAGGCCACATCCACCCTCGTCGACGCTTGGGGACGCCGTTATCTCGAGCTAAATCGGGGTAACCTCCGTCAGAAGGATTGGCAGGAGGTGGCCGACGCCGTCAACGCCCGTCACGGCCACAGCAAGAAGGCCTTCCGTACGGACGTTCAGTGCAAGAACCGGATCGATACTCTCAAGAAGAAGTACAAGATCGAGAAGGCTAGGGTTTCTGATTCTAACGGAGCCCTAGCCAGCTCTTGGCCCTTCTATGGCCGACTCGATGTGTTGATTGGATCTAGCGTCACGCCTAAAAAGCTGCCGTCCTCACCGCCTGTGGCGGTTCCTTTGGCCTATCGGAAACCGCCGTCCGTGGCAACGCCAGCGGTGGTTCTTCCTCAGAAGCGTCCGGCTCCGGCGGTGGATGACTCTTACTTTAGGAGGAATTATTCGGCCGTTGCTGCCGCTGCGGCGGCAGAGGAAGAAGAATCGGAAGATGAGGATGAATCAGAGGATCTGAGGTCGAGCGAGGAGAGCGGCGAACAGGGAAATGGGGTGAGAAGGCTCGCGAGGGTGATTGAGAGGTTCGGAGAGATATACGAGAGGGTTGAGGGGGAGAAACAGAGGCAGATGATTGAATTGGAAAAGCAGAGAATGCAATTTGCCAAAGATTTGGAGGTTCAGAGAATGCAGCTGTTTATGGACACTCAGGTTCAGCTGGAGAAGATCAAGCAAGCAAAGAGGTCGGGCTCCAATGGTAAGACATCTCTCTTCCTTCTTCTTTTTTATAAATCACAGTTTTTTCGTGATGCATTCAGAGGTTAAATATTGATTTTGATAAATTTATTGCATAGATTTAGTGACGGAAAGTTATTCCTTGAATCATATGCACAATTGTTTACTAACACATTGATCCACTTGATTTTATTTAATTCATACGGAAACTTTATTTTGGTGCTGTATTTGCCTTCTTTTGAGTAATCATTATGTTTTATATTCGTGTTAGTATTTTATACATCCAAATAATTTGGCAATTTGAACCCTCTGGTGGTATGCGACTCGTCAAGTTGGTCTTTCATTGGTTGCCCAAGAACTGAGCCTTTTCAAATATTCAAAATAAATCATCTCTGATCTTAATTTTATAAGCTGCTTTGCCTGAAGTTTAAGCTTACATCAGTTGCTCTCTTCTCAGCATCAGATAGCAATTAAGCGGAAGAGCTGTAGTTTCAATGCACACGTTGGTCTGATTATCCATGAAGAGTTTAAGGTTGAAACATCACCAATTTACCATATATTAAGGGTGTAAAATAAGCAATGGCACTTGGTACATATTCCTTGTGAAGACCACACAATTAGTTCCTGAAAAGCATTTGTTGATTGCATGATGTAGCGCGAGATATATGCTTATGTGAAATATTGAACCACGTTTTCTTTTGTTTGCATTCCTAATGGGCTCCTTGTCCATTACATTTCTAAAGCTAGGCTGCTAGGTAATTTTCTTCGTACATTGCGTCCATGGCATGACCATTCATTTTTCGGGCTAAACTTTTGTTACCCTTAAGCTGGGATATATGCCATTGAGGATTAAACTACGGTTTTAAATCTTATCAAAGGATTCACCCTGTCTTAAAGCTTTCCTCATTCATGTCACTTTGAATGTAAAATGTAACTCATTTAATGTCAATGTGAGACTATAGTGTGTTATATATGTAAGTATGCACATGCTGCTTCTATACCTTCACAACACGTGAAACTATTGTGTTTTATGGATGTAGGTAATATGGCGACTAAGTTACTTATAAAAAAAAACAAGGTATTGCGGTGAGTTACGGAAACAGAATTTTTATTTGGTTGTTGGGAAATGACATTGCTAGATATATATGGACGCTTTACTTAATAAATACGTAATCCAAAGACTTGAGTGTCAAGCAAAACTTTGGTTGCATTACACTTTTCAGTTTCATTACCATCACATTGTTTTTTCTTTCTTTTTTTCGGCTGCTGTGAGGACACCACATTCTTAGTAAAATGGAAGGTGGTTTAGTGCTATTCCTTTTGATGTATGGAACATAGAATTTTTCTGATAATCATATATCATATGGGAGAATGTAGCCAAAGTTTAGCATTTTGCAAAGAGCATGTGCAATAGGATAAATGTTCTTTCCCATTGTAGGACTTGTGAATTGTTATAGAGCATGAATGAAATTTTTCTTCCAATTGGCATATATGAAAAGGTTAACGGAGTGCATTCAGAGTCAACATGGATTTTATATTTGTGAAGTCCCTTTCTTTGATATGCATGGTTTTTTTTGCTATTGTTGGGGCTTGCAAGATATAAAAAATATAAAATAAAAAATTCAGGCATATCTTGAAGAGTGCATGGACCAATTTAAACTTCAACAATATCAATTTCTTTTTCTTTCTTGTTTTGGAGACCATTGGTACGCCCGGCCAAATTGCAGCGAGGTAATGCCACGCATGAGCGAGTGCGGGAGTTAGGCTGAGTCTAGATTAGAAAATTAGATGATACTCGACTTTAGAATGTATATCGAAGGCTTAAAAATTTATGTGATCATATGAACTTTTTAAAAGTGATACGTACTGTATAAGAACTTTTTAGAATTGATACATACTGATGTTGAATGTCGTAGTGTGGAATTTCTGGTTTGTTGTCATCAATATAAGTTTTCCATTGCTGAACAAAACTTCAACTTTGTTGTTCTTTTTTACAGACATTTATGGCTAACCATGTGGGAGAGAGTTACTAATTAGAATACGTATTGCTAGAAGAGGAATTTGGCAAACCATAAGAGGACTCTGTATCAACAAATTATCATCAGCAGCGGGTGTCAATGTTTTGGTGAATTATATATATTTTTGTTGTCTTAACGTCTCCTTTCACTCTTCTATTTTTATTTGAGTGGGTAGTTCCACCAGTTAACATCACTGGACAAACTGTGAGGCTTACGTTTAGCCCAATGTTCTCTATTTCACTTTCATTTCCCTTATGATGTGGATGGATTGGTTTGTAGTTAGATTTTTTTAGGAATACAAAGTTAGAATTGTTCAGAACTACTATGTTCAATGCCATTATTCTGATTAATGGATGTAGCTTGACATTGTTTTGGGTTGTTACTAGATTGTGCAGCATTGTATTCCCTTGATATTTAAATTTGGCCATTGTTTTATGCATGTCATCTATGTTATATTTAGCAGTAATAGTATCATCCAGATCATAGTTTTAGAAAATGTCATGACAATTAACTTTCAGTTAAAAGCGTCTTAATTCCTCGGGAGAAATTGTTCCCTTTCTTGTTGGTTAGAATTGTAGAGTATGTAATTAAGCATGTATTTTTATTTGGAAACCGGTCCTCTGGAAGATTACCTCTAGGTGGTTTCATAACCTACAAACTAATAACTTGGGAAAATGAGTTTGTTTAAAAGCAATTTTTGGGTAGATCCTGAGTCAAACACCGTGTAACCCATATTACACACACACACAATATGATCTTCAGTGATTCAGCTACTTCAGTTTTAGCTGTGTTTTTTGGGCATTTCTCTTTACTTAGATATTTTAAATTACAATGCTATATTTTTCTAGTCTGTGATTGAGAATATTTGCTACCTATTCTAAAATATCTTGTTCTGATGCTCTTTGAATATTACCGCAATCAGAGTATTAGATCCAAGAATTGTTCCAAATACTGCCCACCTTGTATTCAGGGCTTACTTGTTTCAAATTTGATGTGTGTGTGTAAAATGATGTTTGCTATTAGATGACAATGTCAAGCTTTTTCAAAATATACTTTTCCTACATGGGGGAACCGAGTTTACAATTCATATATTTTAATATTTTGATTGATGTACAGACTTATAGTTAATAGGTATTCTGCTATCAAACATGTTCTCTTTGGTGGCATCATTCAGTAATTGTTTTTGGTATACACCATGGTTAGCGGTTGCGGTGTAATAAATTCGGACAAATATCAGTATAAACTGACCGTTTCATGGAGATCCCCTTCATGGCCGGTTGATTGTTTTTTTTTTTTTTTTTTTTGTTTTTTGGGTAAGTACTGGTTCTTCTTCTTGTTTGCGGGTGCAAGCTTGTTTAGTTCAGTTTAGTTTATAAGAGGTCTGATTTCCAAATCAACAACGTATAAAATAAAATAAAAAAAATTATTTAATTTTCAGACTGTGTAATCAGAAAAAAATTGCTATAAAAAAAAAATTATTTAACTGAACCAGATAACAACTGAACCACAAGAACATTTTTAACTGGACCATGCTACTTAACCTAAAATGTCCAACAGGAATGCTGAGCCCCTTTGCATCCCTTGGATGCAATTAAGTAGCTTGGCCAAAAGTTGTTGAGCTATTTTTCTCTTGGTAATTGACTTTTTTGACCCACCTATAGATTAAGAGTACAGTAATGATTTGAGAGCATCGTCCTCCGAAAGCATCACATCAACATAAGAGTTGTGAGTTGGTGATAATTAATCGAATTATTGAAAGATATATTATATAATTTATAATTTATTTTATTTTTTTTCATATATCTTTAAAAAATCTATATCCAAAATATACAAATCTTCATAATTCATTAAGTTTCAAGTTCAGTGGTATTCAAAATAAATAAAAAAAAAAAAAAAAAAAAACAGTTCAGTGGTATTCACTTACTTGGAATATGAGCTTCCAGAATATGTTACCTATCTACCACTCAATAATAATAAAAAAGTTTAAATGCTACTGAGTACTAATTAAACACTCATATATAGTTTTGATAAGACCTACCTAAATAAACGCATTCTTACTCAAAAAAATAGGACCCACCAAAATAGTAAACCCTTTTTTTTCTCCCCAAGGGTTGCTGGAAAAGAATATTTATCAATAAATAAAAATAAATATTTATATTTATACTATTATTAAATGTGTGAAGAGTTTTACTGTTTCACTATTTCAGTATTTCAGTATTTATTTATTAATTGATATAAACTCTATAAAAATGTAAAAATTACCCAATAAAATCAATCACCACTTTCAAATTACCTATTTATCTATTTGTTTTAATAAAAAATATTTATTAATTAATATAAAAAAAGTTTAATTCAATTACAAATTACCTAATAAAATTTAACTCAAACTCAATCACTACTTTCAAATTAGCTAATAAAATTCAAATAACAAATTATTTAATAAAATTCAAATCACCACTTTAGCTAATAAAATTCAACTCAATCTCAATCACTACTTACAAATTACCTAATAAAATTCAAATTGCAAATTACTTAATAAATCTATATCTATACTATTATTAAAAGAGTTTTTATAAATCTCTAACACAAAATATAAAAAAATATTTTTTAATTAAATCTATATGGTCTTTATGTATAAGCTACCCCGGTAGAGTAACTCATTAGCTATGTCTTCATCATGCATTGTTTTATTATTTTTTTTCATATTTTGTTCACATAATAATTCACAATCCATGTGTTTTAGTCCTTATTTTTGATTGATTTGTTTTGCAGCATGGTTCAAAATTACAGGTGCATTATTATTTGAATTGCATTAATCATGTTGATTTAATTTTAATTTTAATTTTTATCTTTTGTGTTTGTTTAATTATGTTTTATTCTTTAAATTGTATTAATAATATGGATTTATTTATTTATTTTTTTTTTTGTGTTTTTTAGGTTATCTATTATTCAATTATTTCGTGATAGTTACATTTATTTGAGTGTGCATATGCGCAGATTACTTGGTGGATAATGGATAAAATGAAGGAAGAACGAAAATTTTGAAACCAAAGACATCTATTGAAAAATACTCGGACTTTTCCTCTACAGAACATGATCCATCTCCTGTACGGTGAGATTAAGGTTTTTGATAATTCAATTTAGTATAATTTTAAAATTACTTTTTAATTTTATCAAACAATACACAAATTAGAAATGCATAGACTTGGCACATGATGTCATCGCAGACAAAAATTGATCCCTCCAAGTCATCACTAGGTATATCTCAGCGTATTCAAAGTAGAATTAAATTTCCTAGATATAATATATAAACACATACATATTTAATTACATGTCAACAATTTGCATATAGAATGTGACTAAAGATCCATTTTATCCTCCTGCTTTTAATTAAATCTTAACATTTATAATTTGATCAAAGACACAGATTACCAGTTATCCGCCTATCACGCCACTAACATATCATTCTCAATAAAAATGGAGTTGCCAGTTCCTACTATGCATAGCACAAATCTAAAAACTTCATTTAATATTGGTCACATAAGCCTGGAGAGAGAGAGAGAGAGGGAGAGAGAGAGAGAGAGAGAGGGGGGGAGGGGAGGGGCCAATATTCATTAAATTTTACTCCACTCTAGCTCAATGTCGTTAACAAATAACATAAAATTCTATTACAAATTACCCATTTTATTTTTAATAAAACTCTATCATTAGATAATGATATATTTAAAGAGTTTCTATAAAACTCCAACATAAATTATCTATTTATTATTATGAGTTTTTTAATAAAAGAAAATCTAATTAGACCAAAATTATTAATATAAAAAAATTTATTAATTGATATAAAAAATAAAATAATTTCTTTGAAATTCTACTACGAATTACATTTTATTATGAGTGTTTTTTTTTTAAAAAAAAAAATCTAATTAGCAAAAGAATATGTTTTAAAAAAATAAAATAATTTCTATAAAACTTTACCACAAATGACCTATTTATCTATTTATTATAATGAGTTTTCTAATAAAATAAAATTTATATCGATAGGTTACAAAACATTCAACACATGCATCGCGCACGTGCCTTTTACTAGTATATATATATATATATATATATAATTTAATATTGCATTGTTAATCAAGGGCCTTGTGACTCCAATAGTATTTCTTTTACCTCCCAAAGTAGACGAGTGAGGTTTTGAATTAGGGGTGTACACGGTCCGATATAATCCGATTTTGAAAATTTTTGGAACCAAATTGCTCCTTACGGTTCCGAAAAATCTGAAACCGAATTAGACCAATTGAGCCATGGAACTGAACTAAGCCCAAATCGTGAAAAAATGGTTTGTTTCAGTTTGATTCCACAGTTGTAATTGAATTTTTTTTTTTTTTTTTCCTTGAATTGTATATACAACAAAAATAAAAATAAAAGCATTCACATTTCCGAATCCAAGACAAAAATAAAGAGAGAAAAAAAGAGGAAAAAGTTGGTGAAATAAACCTAAATGCTAAACCCTTGAAATTAAAATAAGATTGAATCTGAAACTGAAAAGGATGACAAAACCGTGGTTGAAAACTAAGAAATTTGATTTGTTGTTGTGCTTGAGACGTTAACACGCTGTGAAACTCAAAGATCTGTAAACTGAAAGTGAGAGAATGGAAGAGAGTGTGAGAAAGGATATCACCAACGACAGTGATAAAAGATTGTCGGCGATGACCGAAGTTCAAATGTTGCGTGAGAGAAATTGATCAACAACTAATCCCATGGCGGCATTGAGAACTAAGAAGTAAATGAGACGGCGTGAAAAAAGGAAAAAAAAATGATATAGTGGAGGAATGTTGGCACGCACCAGAAAATCCAAAGATTGGGAAAAGCAAAATTAAATTAAAAAATATTTAAAAGTGATGAATGTTGGCTTACGTTTGATCGTTGTGTGGAAATTCTTTGCAAAGTTAAGAGTAATATATATATATATATATATTATAACGGTTCGGTTTGGGCCGGTCTGGTCCTGCAGGGCCCTAATTCAGGACCGAAGCAAAAATTCACAGTTCTATTATTTTAGAACCATGACTAGACTGGATCGAACCGCTATGAAACCGGCCCAAACTGCCCGATTCAGTCCGATCTGATTTGAATTTTCAGGTTGACAATTTTTTTGCACATTCCTAATTTGAATTCTCAAATAACAAAATAGGTGTGTGGGTGCGAGGTGTGTTTTGTTTTTCTCAGTATGGATGTGTGAGTGGGGTGCTATCTGTGTGTGTAGTAGCATGGAATATCCAAGCTTGCCATTTGACTTAAAGATCAGATTAGTTTAAATTTTAAACTAATTTTTCTTTTTAATCAAATTCCATGGCACTAATAGTTCAAAATGCAACATGAATTTGTAATCCCCACACGAAATTAAATTATTATAAGAAATTAAATACTCCAGAAAAGAGAAAATATAAAATAATAAAACCAAACCAAACAACAACTAAAGTTTGAAATAGATCTTCAGGTCAGGGCCCTTGTTGTAAAACACAAAAACAATCTGACACAGATGTTTCAACTTCTCCAAAAATATGCTCTTACATATTAGTCATTGTCATTTAAAAATACTCATTTTCCCAAAGAATTAGTACCATGAATGGACTAAAAAATATTTAATTCAACTAAAAAAAAAATTCCAACTATTCAGTCCAGCTAATAGACTCTGATAGTTAGTTTAATATAAAGCTGAAAGACCACTCTTATTGAAATAATTATCACAATTCAATGCATGAATGATGCTCCAAAGGTTCTATCTCATTAAATTGTAATGGAGCTGAGAACATATATAATTAACAGCCCTCTGTTGAAACGTTAACTTATCAATTTTTTTATTTATTTTTTTTTATCCGGCAAATAACACACAATAATGTTAAGGAGATGGAATACCTCCGCATACTTTTAAGTATAATCTATTATTCAAAACATTAAACTTAAAATTTATGATTCAAACACATTAAATATGCGTAATGTTTAAGAATATATTAGCAATAGTGGCCTATCGCCTCTTACCTCCAAAGGGAACTTAGAGGTTCAAGTCTCAGAAGAAACGTGTATGTGAGTACCAATTAGGAAAATATATATATATATAGATATTAGCTCTTAGAAGTTAGAACCTTTACATGCACACATATAGTAGAATATACGGGTTATACAAGAGTCCTAAGACAAAGCATGTTGATGAATTACACATATATACATGCACAAATGTGTGTAGGATATAGAGCTCAAACTTCATTGGAATCTCGTTAGCTGTGGAGAGTTGCCCTAAAATACACAAAAAACAGGTGGATTGTTAAAAATGACTTGGACATTGCCGGTGATTTGTTGTTAAGTTTATGCTATTTTAATCATTGCAATTAGACGAGGAAATTAAGTACTAAACTTTATGTTTTCAATTCGCGCATTCTTTTAGATTATTAAATATATCGTCCGTCATCAGTTTAATTGATCAAGCTCGTACAAATGTGTATATATAAAAAATGCAAATGTATAGTTTAACTGCAAGTTTAACTGTTCAAGAAGTTTTAATTTGACATCAACTACATAATAGCTTAAATGCAATTTACATTATAGAAGCGAAAAGCTCTTCTTTCTGCGCTAAAATAAGTAAAACTAGTAGATCTAGAAATAGTACTAGTGTTGCTGTTTTTCAGAAAGAAGTGTAGGAATTAATAAAAATTATACTAATTAAGGTGGTACAGGTAATAAAAATGTGGACCGTACGTACGTCCAGATGACCAGCTTGCCATCATGATATACTATTATTTAAAAATAACTGATCTAAAGCTTAAATTATACTTTTTATATATATGCCAATTGCCAAGAGAGAACCATATAGTGAAGTGGAAATTGTGGCCTTCCTTTAAACCTTCCCATCCAGTTGACTGCTTATGTGATCCTGTAACAAAATTTCGAAAAAATATGATGTTAATTGTTCTCATTTGAAACATTTGAAATAAGAGATGAACCATAAAGCACATTTAATTATGAATCCTTAAATCAAAAATAATTTCTATGGACCTTTCAAAAATAATAATAATTCTATGGTGAATTTGTGAAGCAACTTGAGCATTGATCATGCAGAAGCAGGATCTAACATGTTGAAGTCCACCCTATTGATTGTCCATGTAAAGGACTCAACAGTTCATTGAAAATAATTCGCTATCCATTGACACCATTTTTGTTATTGAAAATGATAGATTCAATCTATATATCAAAATGGAACCTAGGGATAGCATATCGTACAACACAAAAAGGAATTGTAAGGCATAGAGCCATCATGTTAGACACTTTATATGGTCCAGCAATGTGAAATAGGATTGATTTATTATTATCTAAGAGAATTATGATATATATATATATATATAAAAGAAAAGAAAACAAAGATCAATAGCTCATGCCCTAATTAACCTCTAAAATCCATGACAAACTGTATACTTAGTTACCTTGCCCCAAAAAAATAAAAATGTATACTTTGCCCTAGTGGACAGACCCTTGAAACATAAAGAATAATTCAGCACAAGATTTCATGATATCATTGCCAGTGAATTAAATAATGAACGACATTCCAAAGCCCTAGATCGATTTATAACTTATTACACTCTTATAACCCTAACGAACAATGTGAGACTTAAATTGTTAAATACAAGAGATTGATCTGAGTTTACATCTTTGGAGTAACACATAATTCTAGCAGAAACAAAGAACAAGATCGATGTATACGGAGCAATAGTAGTAAAAAGGCAACCATGGAGAAGAGGGATCTGAATATATCCTCTCTTATATGTTACTCATTTGTCCTATGCCTATCCCGTGCACTATTAAATCAACAATGCAACATTTTTAAATCAAAAAATATAATGGCCATGCTACATATTACATAGAATTGCAACATTATTCAACTAAAAATTCAAAATCTTTACTTAATTCTTGCGTGATCGATATGAAGTTTCGATTTAGAATTGTTAGGCTGTCCATTTAAATGCACAGAATAACACAAGATATAAACAGAGAAACATAAGAGGATCCTGATCCGGTTAATGAGTGGCTCTGGGTTCTAAGCCTAATTGAGGTGAAACATAAGTAAATGCTTAGCTGCACAAGCTATCATTGACTCACAGCCATTAGTGTTTTCTTTCTTGAAAGAATTAGAATAAAAGGCAAAAGTTTCTCTGCACTAACTTTTCTTGTCTCTTAAAAAGAATTTTATATTTCACAAGAGCTAAAAATCCAACTTAAATTATTGAAAATTAAATGATAAGAAAGGGCTGATTATAGAGTCCACTTGGGGAGCTGGTTGATAGGGCAAAACAATACAAAGAAATATTTATTTTCAATTATTACAAGAAGATTGAAACAGAAAGAGGCCCCCATTGGCCTATATATATGCTCCTGTCACATCATAAATGGATCTCTATGCTAATGGAACTCTCAATTATTTGACTCCATAATATATATATATCATTATACACTAACTAAGCTCATTTCTCTCCTATCTTTGATTTTCATCTGATTGTTTATGCAACAGCTATTGTCCAAGACTTTTCTTCCTACCTTCTCCCAAAATGGTAGTCGGTGCCTACTTCAATTAGGGTACTTTTCTTCCTAACTTCTCCCAAAGTTGTAATATATATATATATATATATATATTCCGAAAATTAACCTCATAGAAGTTATCACAGAAAGATTCTCAACCTGTCTTTTGGAAGAGGAAGAGACATCAATTGATGCTATTGAGCTATTCCCAAACATCGAACAATACATCGATAAAAACAAATATTTCACTAAATAATACAATTTCTAAAAGCTTCATTATGTCCAATTACTTCGGTGGCAACCCGGTCATGTGGACAGGATTCAGTACCCTTCTTAGCCTTCAAAGTTAATTAAATCATAATCTGTCCACCTTTATTCTGGTGAATACCTTAGTCTAAGTATTTTTCTAGCAAATCTTGAGAGGTTGACCTAGTTAGAAAATACTTTGATTCCGGTGCCTAGTGAAGCATCAAGTCTCAAAATCGATTCATCTAGGTGCAAACAATTCATTAGGGATAATGTCCGAGAACATAGACTGAGTTTCGCCCGATCCTTGTGGCGAAACGCCTTCCATAAATCCTATGAATTAGTCGGGGCAAAATCCCAACACCCCCATTATTGAAAAAAAAAAATTTCCTAGCAGTGTGTGATCAAGGAAAATCTGCAAGCTGGGAGAATCTAAAGAGTGAAATGGCAACCATGCAACTGGGACTCTTTGGCCAAATATTTTCAATCAATTGAATCAACAAAGGTAGTGTAAAATACCTGAGGTACCCAAAATAAAGAGACTCCAAAGCACCACTATCTATTTAAATTTAAATAAATATCCCCCCTGTGCCAAGGTATAATAGGTGCATGCATCTAAAGATACAAAGTACAAAGTAGGTATGTTACAATATTTGTTTAAAACTTAAGGGTGTACTTAGTTTAGTTTTCTTATAGCAAATTTTTTTTTTTTTTTTTTAAATTGAAAATTAAAAGACTATACAATAATCTACTTAGTAAACAATTTATGAGAAATTTTTTCTCAAAATTCAGTTAAAAAATGCTTGTTTTAATAGAACTATACTGTATAATTCTCTCGAAATAATTTTATACTTTCTGAATTCTTAAAAAAAAAATTTAGAGTGACAAACCAAACAGACCTTAATTATCTAACAATTTTGAAAACTACGAAGAGTTTTCAACAATTCATAATATATTGTTTAATTGCAAAAATTAACAGAAAAAGAAAGAATATATCAACGGGGGCCAGTAACATAGTGGTATGAGACTCTTACTTCTCAAAGAGAGGTTATAAGTTCAAGCCTCAATAGAGATATGTCTATGTGAGTTCCAACAATAAAAAGAAAGAAAGAAAGAATATGACATATAAGACAACATATTTATTTGGTTCACTCAAAACCTGTGTTAGGTCTACAGAATCCAAGAAATCTCATTATAACAAATAGACAAACAAAATTAAATGATAACCACCATCCCTCACTTTACTCCTATTAAATTAAGGCTACATAATAAGTATAAAAATACAATATTACACCCCAAAAAATTCGAACCAAGTTTAATTCGCGAGTTGAGTTAACGTGTATAGTATTATTAAACTCTAAACTTTTTATCATATATGTTTTCCCTTTGCAAGGCGGAAACATGCGAAATTTTAATTTATTTAAGAAAGATAATCTTAAGAGAGTTAAAACCCCATCTGTTTTTATCTGATCTTTGAGGAAGTAGTAGACTGCCCTACTTCCACTCGTACAGTATTCTCATTGTTGAGGTACCATCTGCCACTTTATGTACCATTCCATCAACTCCGTGCCAAATATCAATAGAAGCTCTACTGCTAAATTATTCGAATCAAGTAAACCTATGCGTACATGTTTAATTTTCCTAGCTAGTTGTGTTATGCATATATTGTCACCAAATAAAAAGTGATAAATTGTAAAAGAATTAGGAAGAGAGTGAACATGCAAGAGAATTTTTTTGTCATGAACCCTTGTAGCATCAATTTTTTTTCTCTACAAATTCCAATTCTAAGAAGAGAGTAAAATTAAGGGCAGTGGTCAATTTTGGGAAATGGTGTACAATGTACAGTAACCCCCTCCAAATAATTAAGTCCCAATTTTACGGCATTATTTTCTCGGCCGTCCACTTTATTAAACTTCAGTGATGCAAGTCCTCTTGCTTATTAATCAAATCTTGTCAAACAGCATTCGCTTTAGGTCTTCGCATTAGGGGCAGCGGGAAAACATATGACATATATTTAAGGAGACAGAAGTGATCTCTTATGCACCGGTGAATAAAAAAATTTCTCCACACTAAGTATAGTGATCCTTGGTTGAATGTGATGCAAGTACATAAAAGATAGTTACGTACTGATTTCTTGTTCAGAGACAATTTCTGTACAAGGAGAAATTAAAGACAAACATATAAAATTAATTACAACACCGACAATTGCAGAAAGTACCCCCTACCAATTTATAATTATGTTCTAGAAACCTAATTAATTATGAAGAGCTAGCTAGAAGCTAATTCTTCATTTGTACAATATAAAAAATGAACTCGTTATCAGTAGCAAACAATGTATAATAAGGTTTCGTATCTCATGTTGTATAAATTTAATAAGAATAAAAATGTATTTATTTTAGTTGTGAAGGAAGATATACTAGACCAATTAAGCTACAGATTTTTTAATTCCACCTCAATGAGAGATGACATATATTAATTTCAACTTACAATTTTTGTATACTATATAAATCACATGCAAAGTATGATATATCACATGGTTATCCATGAGGAGCACAAAATCGTGCCAAATCCCAAAAGAGCCAAAAACGTACAAGTGAAAAGTAAACATGTAGGCAAACATATTAAATGGGGGGGAAAAAAAAAAAAAAAAACATTATTAAACAGTGTTTTTGCATGATACAAGTGCATGATATATTGATTGTGGCACTATATTCATGGAGTACTCTATTATTTTGACAGTAAAAGATGTTTAAGGTAAAGTTTCTTACCGCTGTATTTAACCAGTCTAAATTTACAATCTTAGAAGGGAACTAGCAAATTAGGGTTTTGGCATTCCTTGGTTTCAGGGTTTAGGGTTTTCTTGATATATGAAGGGTATAAGATCACCTTAAGTTAATGTTTCATTATCAATTTGGTCCTACTACAAAAGAACCTAATTAACAACTTATTAATTAGTCCATATTAATTCTGATTTGTTGTTTACCTCATTTCCAAACTAATGATACAAATCTTATAATTATTATTTTATTTCTTATTTTTATGATGGTGTGATGCTGAAATTCAAACCAACACTCTATAGATATATAGTTTCTGAAAATACTATTACTATTCATCTATATATGTTATATACACACACAAATTTAAACTTTGATCGAAACAAAATTACCAGGTTTCTGAAGAAGTGACTGCTTCTTAAGACTTCACTTCATCGTTGTTGGCCTTCATATGATTGATCTTCTTCTTCTTTTTCTTCTTGTAGGGAATTCCCCTAGCTTTAGCTTGACACTCCTTCACTTCACGTAAATAAACACGAATAGCTCCATTTCCGAAAGGGTTTGTCTCCGGTGAGCCACCGTTCTCTTCGTAAGCAGCCCTAAGCCGTCCGATCAGTGCATCAAGGCTTCCCCAAGCTTGTCTAAGAGGACAAGTACATGGGGCAGGAGGGTCGGGTTGTCCGAAGAAGACACAACCGTGCGAGTGAACCTTAGTCTTTCCGAATTGGTCGAGATATCGAAGAAACTCGAGCACATGGTTGCAGTTGCAGTGTGATAGTGAAACTGGAGGTCTCTGGTTCTTCAAGTACTGCCCAAAAGTGTTCCAATCCCTCCGTTTCTGCGACTCGTATCGGCTCAAAGGTGCCGGTTGCTGTGGCTGCTCACCGGCGGATCGCGATGATCCTTCTGCAACGTCTTTTGGAGCGTCGCTGGACATGATTGTTGCAGAAGAATTGTTGTGCAAATTTGGCAAGAGATGATATAGGGAAAAGAAAAGGGGGAGGAGCTTGGTGGAAGAAAATGGAATGGTGCTGTGGAGAAAGATGAATATCACATCTTGGGTCTACTGAGGAGACATGTCATGGGCCCTCTGGAGGTGCTTTTGTTCCTTTTTTTTCTTCATCTCTCTCTACTCTCTCTCTCTCTATATTCTCTCTCTCATTTTCATTTTCATTTTCATTTTCTTTTTCTAAATACCACTCACTCTCTCATCTTCATTTTCTTTTTCTAAATACCACTCACTATACCGCTATTTGCACTAACTGCACCTTTAAATATGATCCATGATTATTGTATCCCATCATCAGTACAATTATCATACATCATCAATTTCACTTATCATAAACTAGTGTTATTCATTCCGATTCAGTCTGAGCCGATCACTTACACATCCGTCAACAGAATCATTTAGCACTAAAAGACTAAATTAGTGTTTAGAATTAAAAATAAATAAATTTAAAATTTAAAATTTTAACTATTTTTTCTTTAAATTCAATTTCAAGTCACCAATTGATGCAACCAAGTATATTTATCGTTTATGTGATAAAACCCCATGACCCAAGAGTCAAGCAAATAGTCCAACTGGTCTGATACAACCAGATCTGTCACGAGATTATAAATTTTCATGCATATATTGATAAAAAAACAAGGGCTGCTAATTGAAGTCATAACAAAACTTGTCTTCTGTGTGACTTTATTGTTTTGTTAGGAGGTCTTAATTTATCATCACACATACATACATACATACATACATATATATATATATATATATATAGAGAGAGAGAGAGAGAGAGAGAGAGAGAGAGAGAGAGAAGCATTGCTGTAGGTTAAGCTATTGACTATTGTGGAGCTACGTATAATACAACTTGATTTGGGTTAGTGAAGTGTTTGAATAGGATTTGATTCTTCTAGAACTTGTTCTCTGTACTCAAAAGATTCAACTGTGAAAAATTATTACAGCCATCATCAGCACTACTAAAGTATTAATAATCAATAATATAGAATAATATCTTCATTCTACAGGCAATGTATTAGTGGTTGATGTCTTTGTCTTACTGACTTTTCAGAAGTTACTTGAATGGGCTAAAAACAATGCATTAACAAAGATATACCCTCCAATCCTGTGACCAAATTTTAACAGGAATTTGAATGTATGTACCTGCATGAAATGACAAATATACATGGTTACAAAAATGCATTAATGAATGCCCTAGGTGTCAATGTATCATGTTTCTGCTACAACAAAATTCATGTGGTTGAAGGACTGTTGAGTCTTTTGCAGAAAATGAAAGGGATAATTTTGACTCAATTGGGCACAACCATGAAAGAAAGGACTATGTATGCTTTTTATACATTTAATTGCAGTGATTTGGGGGACCCAATGATTATTCGCTTGTTGATTAAGTATAATTTAATCAACCAAACGCGTTTAATTATTGTATCCCTTGTGGCTTTCTTTAGTCCTTTGACCTAAATTGATGTTTATGGCAAACATGAAATCTAGTATTAATGGCCATGATTTGAAAGTGAGAAAATATAAGGTGTATGTAGGGTGAACAAACTGAACCATGCACCATCATAACGTGTTACACCAAGGACGCTCTTTAATCTCGTGATTTACATAATTCACCAATCAAACATGTTCATTTAATCATATTCACTTGATCACAATTTGTCGCACCGAAGAGACCCCTTAATCGTTAAATCTTATTATACAATTTATATGTTTCAATATCTAATTGCGAGAATTTAATTTGTTGATAAAAAAAATTTCAAACCAATGAGCAAGTCATGAACAGTTCTTGACAAAGAATATTGCTGATGATCAATTTACAATTAATCCTCTTTAATAGAAAAATATCTCCACACACACAAACATGATCAAATATATTGGAAAACACTAGACACTGAAAAGAATGATTGATGAAGGAAGAAAAAGAGGATACATCTTGGAGCCATGATTCAAAATTGCTGGACAAATTCTTTGTGAGATGGGTCCAACCATCAGTATATGTCTCTGATGCGTCATTATGATGTTTATTGGAGCTTGGATATATTGTGTCTTTACATGTATCCGTTGTTTGGCATTCTTCCGTAGCTTACGGTAAGCTTTATAGCCTAGAAAAAGATTTAGAATCCTAAATAAATACTCCAGATTGTGTGACTTTCTATAGACCATGGTCCATGAATCATAAATAATTATGTTAGAGAACCTCCCTCTGAAATTCTCTTACACAGGTAAAACACAAAAGACAGTCAACATGACCATAAAGCACAATAAAATGTATTTTCTGTTCTATCTACTCTCCTGCTTCTTTTTTTTATTTTATTTTTTTATTTTTTTATTTTCTTGCATTCTAGCCTGACTATACTCTTTTATATGTTATTTTTGGGTTTGAAATGAAATAATAATCTCACCACATATGAAAGTAAGACTCAGTACATCTAATCTCTCCGGACTTTAATTGGAATGCCGGACTTTATCTTTGTGCACAAACTTTGCCCTTTTTAATACTCATAAATTTGTTTGTTTAAAAGTTCAAGAAGTTAGAAGTGTTCATGAAATTTAATCTAATTGATCCTGTGCTTGAAGGGTAAAAGACCCTTTCCTTAAGAGCATCTCCAATGCTCTTTCATTTTAAGCTCTCAAACTCATAATTTGAGACATGGGTAAAAAAGGCTACTCCAATGACCTTTCATTTGGCCTCTCAAAATTTGAAAATCTCAAAATTTCTCTCAAATTACAGACCTTGATTAGTTGATTTAGGAAAAAAATTATAAAAAACCCATACATGCAATTTAGCGGTTACAGAGAGAGAGAGAGAGGTGAAGCTTGAGAGTTGAGAGAGTAGTTGAAGCTTGCGAACGGCGAACCTGAACTGGAACAACAGGTGATGTAAACTGTAAGATATGGGTTTTTGAACAATCTGAAATGATATGCCGATATGGGTTCTGATCTTTTAATTCTTGCAGACAGATAGATAAATTGAAATATATGGGTTTTCAACTTTTGATTCTTGTAGATTTTCTAGTTTGCAGTTGCAGAGAGACAGAGACAGGGGGGGAGGGGATGGAAGCGATTAGGGAGTCTGAAATGATTTGCCCTAAAAATATATATATTTTTAATAATAATATACTCAAATATATATAATATACATATAAAAAATATATATATATATGAATTTTCAAAAAAGAAAAAAAAATTATATAAAAAAATTATATAACAATATAATCAAATATATAAATTTATACACACACAAATATATATATATATATATATATATATATATATATATATATTTATATTTGGTCTTTTTTTTAACCAGATATTTTAGATTTTTATTTCTTTTTAATTAGGTTTAATTTTAGTTTCTTTCTGATGTCTACAACTTGACTTGGAATGTGCCTAATATTAATATTACTAATACAAATATGAATGGTAGGAATGGTAATTAAAAAAGAATGGTGGTTGTGTCAAAAAAATAGTATTTTGCATGAAATGCACCATTGGAGTAGAATTGTTAAAATGTAGCATTTTGACACTATATCACCTGTCAAAATATAGATTTGACAGCTGAAAATAACTTTAAGCATTGGAGATGCTCTAAGTTGCACTCAAAATAGTTGAAACTCAAAAACACATGTTAATCCTTAGGACTAGTTACATCAATGGTACATATTTTGATAATTTGTCAAATTCTTATATATATATATATATATATTTTTTCTGGGCTACTGACAAGCAAGAATTATATTTAAATTAACCATGATTCGAAAACTCATTCTTCATTGAAGTTACTTCGTCACATTCTTGGCTGTATATAACTCTAGATTCCACATAATTGGGACTAAATTGTAACCAACAAGATACCGTCCCATGACTGTTCTGCTATTGATTACTAGTAGCGGTACTATATATATTCAATCAAATACTGCCGATGTGTGTCACAATAGATATATCTTCACTGATTTTCAATTTCTTCTTTGTTAAATTAGCTAAAATACAAAAATCCTTTTGAATAAAAATAAATAAATAAATATATATATATATAAATCATTTAGTTAGCCTTGGAATGTGCACCACCTGTGTACAGTTGAAAAACTGAAAAAGTAGAATAAAGAAAAAGAAATGGTGAGCTAAGCACTTTCCGGGGAAAAAAATGGTGAGCTAATAATCTCTGATACTCTAAAATTAAAGGGAGGGGGGAATCATTACCTGTAGTGCTCTTTAATTTCCTTGAAATATATATATTTATATGTATACTATTATATGAGGTGAATTTCGGGAGCCATTCAAGTTACAAGAGTCATCCCCTGGAATTACACTATGGCACCATAGTATATGTTGCAACTGTTCGAAAAAACGATTATGATAAATTACCAAAATTACTTGCACTTACATATATAACAAAAATAGAAAATTCAAAAATTTCAGAGTATAGTTTGGAGGCGCGTGAACATAGCTGAAGCTTTCCATAAGGTGCAAGGGATCATAACTGCTTTATTTCCATAATTCAACAAAGTCTGGACTAGATCCAGCCGTAGTGTACTTGTACGATACACTATTGGATACAAAACTTAATCTCTTTTCAGAATGCCCAAGTTTACAAATTAGAAGAAAAAACTTTTAAAATTTTGAGATAAGAATATTTGAATATAAGTTGGGATTGAACTTCTTCATGTTTGATTCATTTTTTTCCCATATTTTTTTCGTACTTGAAAAATGGGAGTAGTCTTGTATAGATCTCTCAAAATATATATCATAAATGTACTCAATCTCAGGATACATGAATTCAAAATATTAATATTCCAAAACAATGAATTTAGATAAATATATTTATCCATCACATTAATCAAATGTATCCCCTGTATAAAAATGAATGAACTTGAAATGGATCATCTTAGAATTAAAGGAATCAAATAGATTCGTTGAGACTACAAAAAGTTTAGTGCATAAACATCTCCTTTGTTCATAATGAACCACCAAAATATATGCATATACTTGTAAACACATTTAAAACTTGTTTGTTTAATGGGGAATGAATAAAAATAATTTACTTTAATTATATATAAATATATATTAAAAAATATTATTAAAATATTTTGAAACATTTCCAACAATCCTCCACTTTTGTTTTTAGTTAAAGGGTAAGCTTCATTGAAGAAAGGAAAGAATGTACAAGGATCCCCATCTAAGGGGAGAAACAACAATACATAGCAAAAAGAAAACAGTACAAATCCACAACCAACCTAATCAGTAGCATGAACAAACCTCTATAACCAACCTAAGCAACAGTAGGAACAAACTGCTCTAAATAACAACCATAGGCCATGAACAACATGCTCAGAAGGGCAACCATAAGGCAAACTGACAACATTAACCAAGCAATTGTGATATGAATTACTCTGATAGGCGCCATGAGTGTCCTCCTGCAAAAGCACAGCCTTCAAGGAAAAGTTTGTGTAGTTTTTCCGTAGTCTCTTTCTGGTAAAGCTCAGTCCTTTTCCTCAGTGCCATTGAAGTAAGCCTTGTTCTTATGTAGCCCTTAATAAGACAAATGATGTGTTGAGCACTGGTTGATTTATTCCTAAAGGCTCTGGCATTTCTTTCGGTCCAAATGAAGTAAATAGCAACAGACAAAAGAAGTTTGTGAGTAATGAAGTATTTGTTGCACCATGTAGTTGAGCACCATGAGATAAGATTAGCCCAGCAATCAGGTCTGATGTAGAAACCAGCAACATTTTGAATGAACTCCCAAATAAGAATATTGAATTTGCACTTGAAGAATAAATGGTCAATTGATTCCCAGTCAGACATGCAAAGATAGCAAGCATTGGTATAGTGCTTGTGCTTCATTGGTTTGGTATCAAGAGTTTAGAGTCTCACTTTGATTGCTAACCGGAGGATGTGACTATGCTGGGGAATGTGGTGCTTGAACCAAAAGAGATTGTGCCAAGTGAACATCAGTGAGGGAGGGTTGAAGTAATCCATAGTGTCACGGACTTGAACCTTTCCAAGCTCCCGTGCGACCTTAGACCACTTTCAAGCCCCCTTGAAGCGCTAAGTTAGCTTACCCGAGTGTGCTAGCTTAGTGAAGACTAAAGCTAGACGAGTGGTTTGCTTACTTGGGTGTGTAGGAAGAGAGGCAAGTGAGCAAGAGAGTTTGGGAATGTATAGAACTTGTATTGCTTGAGAGGAGAAGATTACAACTTGGTTGCTTGGTGAGGAGCAAATGAACTCCCACCTCCTATTTATAGGCCTTTGGCCTCACAAGAACATTCTAGATGTGTACAAATGTGTGGCCTAGATTTAGTGTCTAGAATCATCCAAAGAAATATCTACACAATTCTAGAACTATCTACAATGTACAAGACAAGTTTAGAGAATTCTATACAATTCTAGACAAGTCTAGAAAAGGCTAGACAACTCCACACTAATCTAGAGAATTCCGGAAAGTTCCATACTTGTGTAAAGAAGTCTAGAAAGCTCCGGTCCATGCAGGCTCCATATCATCGTCTGCTGGGCGTCTGCGTGGCGCTTGCGTGGTGTAGCATCTTGGTTGCGGGGCATGACATTCTCCCCCACCTAAGCTCGCGACGCCCTCGTCGCGTCTTCTTGCTTGAACCGCTGGATATGCTCCGCGAATTGCTAAAGTGTATCTTCGTGCTCCAAGCTCGCCTCGCTATTTGGCAGGTTCTTCCATTTCACTAAGTACTCTGTATATTTGGGCATACCTCTCCTGCTCATCACACGATCCGCAAGGATGCGATCAACTTCCTTGTCAAAGGATGTAACAACGGCTGTGGGTGCCCTATGCGATATGCCCCGAGTAAGGTCTTCCGTGTCTTCATGATAAAGCTTGAGCATGCTGACATGGAAGACTGGATGTATCTTCAACTTGGGTGGAAGCTCCACCATGTAAGAGACCTTGCCCACCCGCTTGACAATGGGGAACGGGCCCTCGTACCTCCTTACTAGCCCCTTATGCAGGCTCCGGAAGGACTTAAACTGTTGGGGTAGTAGCTTAACCATCACCTGGTCTCCCACTATGTACTCCACCCGCCTTCGCTTGGTGTCAGCCCACTTCTTCATCTTCTTTGACGCCTTGTCAAGGTATGCCCTAGCCAAGTCGGACTGCTCGTGCCACCTTTTGGCAAATTTGTAGGCCGCAGGACTCTTACCATCGCAAGTTGAAGCAATGGTGTTGGGTGTCATAGGCTGCCATCCGGTAACAACCTCAAATGGACTGTGATTGGTAGCCTCACTCCGCTGCAAGTTATAAGAAAACTGTGCCACCCCAAGGAGTTTGGCCCAATATCGCTGATTGGCACTTACATAGTGCCGTAAGTATTGTTCCAAGAGAGCATTGATGCGCTCCGTCTGCCCATCTGATTGGGGGTGGAAACTCGTAGAGAAGTTGAGATCCGTCCCCATCTTCTTGAAGAGCCCCGTCCAGAATCTACCCATGAAACACGGGTCTCTATCACTGACAATGTTTTGCGGAACTCCCCAAAGCTTGACCACATGGTCAACAAACAATTCTGCTGCCCTCTCTGCCGTGCAATCTGCTGGTGCGGGTATGAAGGTGGCATACTTGCTGAACCGATCTACCACCACTATAATGCTCCCGCAACCCTCTGACTTAGGCAAGCAAGTAATGAAATCCATAGAGACACTCTCCCATGGTCTCTCTGGAATAGGCAATGGCTCTAGTAGGCCTGCAGGATGTTGTTACTCAATCTTGTCTTGTTGGCACACAAGACAAGTCCTCACATATGTCTCCACATCATTGCGCATCCGAGGCCAATAATATGAATCTTCAAGGAGTGCTAGTGTGCGCCGCATACCTGGGTGACCAGCCCATTTGGTGTCGTGTTACTCCCGTATTAACTCCTTTTGCAAGTTGCCCCACCTGGGTACAAAGAGTCGGTCCCCTATAGTGAGAAGTAAATCATCCCTTAGCCAAAAGCGCCGAGTCTTCCCTTCCTTAGCCAGCTGAATAAGGCTTTTGGCTAGAGGGTCATGCTGCAACCCCTCCTTGATCCGCACCACAAGAGGGTGTTGGGGTTGACTAATAGCTGCGAGCTCGGCCTTGCGACTAAGCGCATCTGCCACAACAATGGCCTTGCCCGGCTTATATTCAAAATGATAGGTGAACTCCGCTAGGAAGTCCTGCCATCGAGCTTGCTTGGGGCTGAGCTTTTTCTGTGTCTGGAAGTAGCTGGTGGCAACATTATCCGTCTTGATCACAAATTGTGCCCCGAGCAAGTAGTGCATCCAAGTACGTAGGCAATGGATGATCGCAGTCATCTCTTTCTCCTACACTGTATAGCGCCGCTCGATGTCATTAAACTTACGGCTCTCATAAGCTATGGGGTGTTCCTCTTGCATCAACACGCCCCCAATAGCAAAGTCTAATGCATCCGTGTTCACCTTATATGGCTTGGAGTGGTCGGGTAAACTAAGTACCGGCTCCTCTGTAACTGTCATCTTCAAGTCATTAAATGCCCCCTTGGCATGAGTCTGTCCAACTTCAAGCACGCGCCTTCTTGAGAAGGTCTGTCAATGGGGCTGCTCTCGCCGAGTAACCCTTAATAAAGCGGCGGTAGTAGTTGACAAGCCCAAGAAATGAGCGTAGCTCTGTCACCTTAGTGGGCGGCTCCCACTCTTGAATAGCCCTCACCTTTGCCTCATCCATCATCAGCTTGCCATCCTGTATCTTATGCCCTAGGAACAACACCTCCTCTTGGGCAAAGGAGCATTTTTCTATCTTCACATATAGGTCGTTCTCCCGTAGGACTTGGAAGACCGCCCTCAAGTGCTGCACGTGCTCCTCTAGAGTGGTGTTATACACAACAATATCATCCAAATACACCACCACAAAGCGATCCAAGTAGGGATGGAAGAGCTTGTTCATCAAAGTATAGAAAGTAGAAGGTGCATTGGTAAGGCCAAATGGCATAACAAGAAACTCATAAGAGCCATACCTCGTCACACATGTAGTCTTAGGCTCATCCCCGTTCGCTATCCGCACCTGGTAGTACCCCAAGCGCAAGTCTAGCTTAGTGAAGTAGCGTACTCCACCAAGCTGATCAAAAGGATCGGCAATGAGAGGAATGGGGTACTTGTTTTTTATAGTCACCTTGTTGAGCGCCCGGTAGTTGATGCACATGCGCAAGGACCTGTCCTTCTTCCTTTGGAACAGCACAGGTGCGCCATATGGGGCATTCGAAGGTCGAATATAGCCCGCATCTAATAGCTCCTTGAGTTGCCTCCGCAACTCTTCCAACTTTGGGGGTGTTATCCTGTAGGGCACCAAAGCAGGGGGTTTAGAACCCGGTTCCAGCTCAATCTTATGATCTACCTCCCTCCTAGGTGGAAGCTTCTTGGGCAGCTCCTTAGGCATCACGTCCGTGTACTCGTCTAGCACAGCTCGTATCTCTTTAGGCACCTTTTCTTGTGGGGAAGGGATTAGCTCATCATCAGGCGTCTCCATCAACGTAGCAAGATAGCTAGTCTCCCCCTTCCTGAAGCCCTTCTTGAATTGCATAGCTAACAAGGCTTGGGCTTCCAACTTGGCGCCTCGCTCTACTGGCACCATGCATGCTGTGTTACCTTCCATAATACACATAGTGTTAGCAAAAGGAATGGAGAAAGCTCTCACCTTGTCTAAGAACTCCAACCTAAGGACTAGTTTGAAGTCGTCCATGGGTACCACCGATAGATCTATGTGGTCACCCCACTCGTCAATGTATGCTTAGACGCCGTGTGCCATGCCATATATAGCCTTTACCGCCGAGTTAACTGCCTTCATGGAGCCCCTTTCTTTGCTATACTTGAGGCCCTACCTCTTGGCCTCATCAAGGCTCACAAAGTTGTGGGATGCACCCGTGTCCACCAAAGCACGTGTGGGTGTCCCATTGATGCTCCCTTCCACGAACATTAGCCACTTAGCCGCCGTCTTAGGGACTTCAGTTTTAGCCTTGATAGCATTAAGGATTTGCAGCGAACCCATCTGCACGTCCTGTTGTTGTTGTTGCTCCTCATAATGGTTTGTCATGGCATTGAGGGTCTTCCTCTTAGGGCAATCTCTCACCCAATGTGGCCCGTCACATATGAAGCATGAGCCTTTAGGCTTGGGTGCTCCATCCTTGTTCTTCCTTCCCTCTTAGACACCACGGCCACCACCTGGCTTACGGGACCAATCCTTGTGGGGTGCAGCGCCCTTGTCTCCCCCACCTTTGCTGGCATACCACCCCTTGTCCTTGTCTTTGTCCTTTGGCTTCGACGAAGGTTCCTTCTTGGAGCTGAAATCAATAAAGGACTACGCCTCTACAATAGTTGTTGCAAGGTCTTGCACGTTGAGCCGTCTCAACTCCGTCTTAGCCCACAACTGCAAGCCATCCATGAAGAAGAAAAGAGAGTCCTTGTCAGATAGATCTGGGATCTCAAGAGTTAGGTTAGTGAATTCTTTCACATAGTCCCGAATCGACCTAACCTGTTTTAGCCTTTTGGAGTCTGCCCCTGGCTTCATCCTCGGCATTCTCAGAATAAAAATGCTTCTTAATTTCCTTAGTGAAATCAGCCCAAGTATCAATAGAGACAATACCTTTGCCCATGTCACCATACTTCTTCTTCCACCATAGCATGGCATGATCTGTGAGGTAGTGAGTCGCCGTGCGTATCTTGATGGTCTCGTCTGTCATGCCCGTAGCCTCAAAGTATTGTTCCATGCTAAAGAGGAAGTTCTCCAACTCCCTCGCTACCCGGTTCCCACCATAGCACTTAGGCTTGGGAATATCAACCCGAGGTGCTACTACCCCCGTAGTAGCTGTGCCGGACGCCATCGCCCGTTT